GTAACAGCCTAACAGGAGTAGACGAGGCTAAGCTATTATGAGAAAAAGCAGAGAGAGCATAACGTTAGAGATTGAACTAACAGATTCTGCAGAGTGGGAGAATAGAGATTGAATGAAGCAGAATGATGAAAGGGTTCCCTATGTCCTCCAGAAGTCTAACCCTATAGCAGCATAACTATAGAGATAGCTCAGCCTCTCTAACTATAAGCTTTATCAAAAAGGAAAGTTTTAAGCCTACCCTTAAAAGAAGACAGTGTATCTGCCTCACGGCTACAACTGGTAGCTGGTTACACAGCCTGATAACTAAAAGATCTGCCTCTCATTCTACTTTTAGAAATTCTAGGAACCACTAGCAAACCTGTATATTAAGAGCGAAGTGCTTTGATAAGTAACATAAGGAACAATCAGATCTCTGATATAAGATGGAGCTTTGCCATTTAAGGCTTTATATTTGAGAAGGAGGATTTTAAATTCTATTCTGGATTTAACAGGAAGCCAATGAAGAGAAGCCAGGATAGGAGAGATATGATAGGATAATTAACAAAAGTCTAGAATTCCCCGTTGTTCTTCAGTGCAGTACATAGGCTTTCTTTAATGTCACACAAATACAAGGCACAGAGATTTCTTCTCACTTCCTTACATGTCCCAGTCTGGTGTTTCAGCCTATCAGAAGTTAGGTTTTTTTCCTTCCTATGTTGCCAAACTATCTTCTCCAGTGTCGTCTCTGAAGCTTGAACTTAGACGGCGGGTCATTTTCTCCACAGGAGATATTTCCTGCACTATAGTCATCAACCGTGTCAGACCTAGAGTCACTTTTCAGTCATTTACTTGTAATGGTCTTTTCAGCACCTGATATCTGTGTTTTGAGGAGATGGATATCCTCACTGTGTGTCTCCTCACTCTCTAACTAACCCAGCGGATAGAATGTGGGCACTCAGGGATTCGTAACCTACTGCATCTTCAAGAGCCTGAACAACTCGACTCCAGTAGGTTTATATGTTTGTCCCCTGGCATATACCAGATTGATACGTGTAGTTCCATTTGAGGTCTACACATTTTTTTTCTTGAGTGTGCGAATTCAGAAATCTCACGACAACTAATCTTGCTTGCAAAGTAAATATTCTAATACATTGCAAAATAATATAAGCATGGTTGATTGATTAACTTTTTGATCTCAAAGTTGAAAGATTTACTCTTTCCGTTGACTCAAATAGTCAAAAAGAAGGTGGCCAAAAGAAGAAAAGGTGCACAAGTTATTGTAATAGTAATAGTGTCGCATCGTAGAGTCTGATGTCACCAGGGATGAATGACCTGCGGTAGCGCGTCCTTTTTATGACGCGATGGTTGTTTATCTTCCACAATGTATCCAACATAATTACCGTTTTTTGTTTTTTTTTCCTGTACTGTGTACAGAATAACTTATGCAATTGAGGTGTTATAATATAATGCATCTAATTTTTCCAACCACATTGCCTCCGGTCTCTGGAGCTTGTGGAGGACGGCTGAGTTCTACACACTGAAAGCCAGACGCTCTTAGACAGTTTTACATGTAATTCTGACTCCAACTGGAACTGTAGATTCAATAATTCCCATCTGATTTTTGTAAGCTTTTGTGGAGCTTAGACTCCATGTTTCTTGGCATTTTCACCTGTGCCTGTAAATAATTTGATCAACTCATTTCCTTTCGGTGGCATTTTTTTCCTTAATCTTAGCAGAGAAAAAAAAAAAAACTGTCTTAGCTGTAGGCTTGTGATAAATCCACCTCTAAGAGTGTAGAAAAGCCGTTATTCCTATTCCTTTCCATCCCATTAGAAGACAAAAATAAATAAATAAGACTTATAATTGCCAAGCTGTTATTTAGGTTTCCAGTCCGTGATGAAAAAAAAAAAAAGATTTCGTTAATTTTTGACAAGTAAAGTTTTAAGCTAAAAAGAAAATGCAACGCTTGCATTTCCTGATGTTGATGACCACAGGAAACTTAGGCATCTATAAGGTTGCCTCCCCCGGGAGGTGTTCCAGGCATGTCCTATTGGGAGGAGGCCCCATGGAAGGCCCAGGACACGCTGGAGGGACTATGTCTGTGGGCTGGCCTGGTATCCCCTTGGGGTCCCTCCAGAGCAGCTGGAGGTGGTGTGTGTGGATCGGGAGGT